TGATCACGGGTTCATGCTTTTACTTGTAACTACAATCGATTGTTGTATGGATTATCACATTACAATTACAAAAGTTTCATGTAATCTAACGACATTGATTAAAAAAAAATTTAAGGCACCTAAATTAATTCAAATTTAAAATTATTGTATTATGGATTCGTGGTTGGTAATGTATAAGCTAAATGTCGCTCACCACGTATTTTGATGTGATAATTCTGCGTGTCCACTTGTAAAGCGCATAATAGAAGAGGTGTGCGTCTAACCATAAAGGATTTCTTGGGAATAATAGGATATAACATAAATGAAAAAGGGAATTCTGATCGCAAATATAAACTACAAATTTAAAGAAGTCTAGATTAAACAGTTCCTCCTTTTAATTTCAACCTAACCTATATTAACGTTAGGAGACTTAATTCTATTGATTTTGACTCAAATTTATTAGTACCAAATATAGTTAGAATTCAGAAATTCATAGAAAAATTAATAAATAATTAGATTATCCCATTTACAAGATGAAGAATAATAGATAGAATCATTGAAAATTTCAATTTTGATAAAATAGAAAATAGACATGGGACGGAGGGTTTTTCTAAATAACGAACTACTCTAAATAGAAAGATTTTAAATATACAATGATATAAGAGGTGTTCGCTTCAAGACGAATATTTTAATACGTACGAGATTTATTATACACATTACATTTATGAAAAAAAAATTTTCTTTAGTACGTATTGGACGATCTTTGACAAGGTCACAAACTTACAATGGATTCATTCATGGTGAATGAAGTTGCACCTATGTAGATCCAAATCGTTCTAGATTAGAATCTAATCTTTAGAGAGAGCAAAGATATGATAAAGAATTTATTGGTCTGACATTTCTGCGGCATCTGATTCGTTTCACAATTAGCCAGAGTCAAGAACCTTACCCAAGTAAAGGGTTCAAACCACCTCGGAGGTGGGCCTAGGACATGCCTTGAGGCCTACTCATTCCAGTCTTTTAACTTTATTGCATGCTAGAGCCGCCCAATCCAAACACAACGCCCCATTTCATGTGATTTTGTCGGCCCGCCCAATCTCTTGCTCAGTCTCTGCTAAGTAACGGACTTGCGACTTATCATATGCATGCTGCTTGCTAAATTTTGTTGCAAGATTAAGCATAGTCTGACACTTTTATGTTTTTAGAATACAAGTTGGCTCGATCAGTTAGTTTCAAATGTGTTAAACATCAGTGCCTGGTTCGTGGTTTGAGTTCCACTGCAAGCCCATTATTCGAATGGAACTCAAGAATCACCAGATGCTTTAAGCAAGGTAACATAGGAGGTGCTCGCCATATGTTTGATGAAATGTCCCACAAGAATGTGGTGACTTGGAACTGTATGGTTTCTGGATATATCCGAAATGGAATGATTGGAGAGGCCCGTCAAGTTTTTAACACGATGCCATGGAGAAATGTGGTGTCTTATACAGCCATGCTTACTGGGTATGCGAAAATGGGAAATTTAGACGAGGCGAGGAAGCTGTTTGATGAAGTTGGTGATAAGAATGTGGTATGTTGGAATTCAATGATTTCAGGATATTTGAGTAACGGGAGGATAGAGGAAGGTAGAGCATTGTTTGATGTAATGCCAGCGAAGAATAGTGTGTCGTGGGCGACTATGATCGAAGGTTATTTTAAGTATGGGGATGTGAATGAAGCTAGGAGGTTGTTTGTTGAAGCACCGGAGAAAAATTTGTTGGTTTATAATACTATGTTGGCAGGATATGCTGAACTGGGTTATGTAGAGGATTCGTCTGAGTTGTTTAGGACAATGGTTGAGAAAGATGTGGCTTCATGGACTAATATGATTAGGAGTTTGATGAGAGCTGGGGAGGTGGAGAGAGGTAGGCAATTGTTTGATGAGATGCCTCAGAAAGATGTAGTGGCTTGGACTGCGATGATTCAGGGATACTTGGATGCCAATCAGATAGATGAAGCTGAGAAATTATTCAATGAAATGGCTTATTGTGATATTGTTGCATGGAACTCGATCATTGGAGGATACATTCGGAGTAACAGGTTTCAAGATGCTCTAGACCTATTTGTCAAGATGCCTAGAAAGGATATAGTATCATGGAACTTGATACTTGAAGGATATGTGAAACAAGGTGATATGGTTAGTGCACACAAATTTTTTATGGAGATGCCTAAAAGAGATAAAACCACTTGGAATATAATCATTTCCGGATATGAAAGCAAGGAAGCTTTGATTTTGTATGTTCAGATGTTGCAAGAAGGTTTTAAGCCTGATCAGGGGACATTTACTGTTGTGCTTTCAATCTGTGGTGCTCTTGCTCTAGAAATTTGGGGTAGATTAGTGCATACTTATCTGATCAAGACAGGTTTCGAAATTGATACGATGGTAGTGAGTGCATTGATATCCATGTACTCTAGATGTGGTCTAATAGAGGATGCTACTTCAGTGTTTGACAGGACAAAAGTTCATGACACTGTAGTGTGGAATGCTATGATTGTCTCGCAGGCATATCATGGTTCCGCTGCAGAAGCCTTTAGTCTTTTGTCTTTGATGATTAAAGCTGGATGTGAACCAGATTCTGTGACTTTTGTGGGACTATTGATTGCGTGTGCTCATTCTGGTCTCGTTGGTCAAGGCTGGAAATATTTCAATTCAATGCAGAAGTGGAAGCTGATTCCAAAACCAGAGCATTATGCTGTTATGGTTGATCTCCTCAGTAGATCGGGCTTGGTGGTGGAAGCATATGAACTTGTGAAACAATTGCCTCTTAACCTCCCGGTCTATGCTTGGGAAACATTACTCAGCTCTTGTAGAGTCCACGAAAATTTTGAACTAGCTGATATCGTTGCTAAAAAACTTTCAAGCCTTGAACGTCAAAATGTTGGAATGCATGTACTTCTATCAAATACATATGCCGCCAGAGGAATGTGGAAGAATGCAGCACATGTTAGAGAGTTATTAGAAGATCAAAAGTTGAAGAAAGAATTGGCATGCAGTTGGATTGGATAAATGGTGGTTGTATTTCTCATTTTGTGTATAATGACAAATCTCATCCGGAGACGACAGGAATATGCCAAAAATTAGAGAATCTTTCTGGGGTCATTCGGGAGTTTCATGCGCTGATTCATTCAAGATGTTTAATTTTGGTTGGGGAGAGTACAACATGTATACTTTAAATTTATTTTCTTGTACATTAGTGATTAGTGTACAGGAAGAATTCTGTATTATATGATGTGGTAAATGTTTGAATGCCCAGGTTAAACCCAGGGGCATTGCAAATATTATTAATAGCTTAATGTTGGCAGAGACCATAGCAGAATAAGATGTTACTCGGTTATCCACTAAACTTTTGAAACGATACACTTACGATCACTTGTAAGAGTATGAAGTTGCCCACTCAACTCTTGAATGTGCATGTTTTAAGTCATTTCATCTGTTTTCATTAATCAAATTTACCTTTCGACTGTATCTTGTGATTTGTACGAGTTCTTATATCTGGCAGACTTAACAGTAAAAACAGATACAAAATAGATCAAAATATACACGTCTGGAAGTTGAATGGATAGCCTTATGCTTTAAAAGTTGAGTGACCAAAATTGTATAATTCATTTCAAAAGTATAATGACTGATCGGGTAATTTGCTCTAGTAGAAATTGTAACATTATGAAGCAGACAAGCAAAGAGCTTCCGGCATGCTATAGATGATGAATGAAAAGGGGGGCCTCTCGTTGCTTCATGCATGATTAGATTACGTCAAATAAGATTGGCCTGCATTCGTTTTGAAAACCACGCCTGGACTGTGCTTTGTAGTCAGAAGACAGCAAGAAGTGCCAATACCTCTACGCCAATTGATGCAATTCAAGAATCTGAATCCTCTGCTTTGTTTTATGGTCCTGGGCACACCATGAATCTCATCTTAGCTCTCAAGGTTTGATGTATCATTCACTTCTTTCAGTCATGTTGCTTGTTACATTGCAAGGTGGAAGTTGTTCTTGTCAATGTAAATTGAAGGTTCAAACGAGACTTTAAGAAGAAATTGAAGAACTAAGACCGACATCTGGGTACAAGTCCAACGATGAGCATTCACAAGTAGCGGTGCTCGACATCCATGATTCCATTGGCCCTCCCACATCACAGCTGAGCTGACACCACCTTTATTTCCCCAACGTCCCTTCTCGGCATTCTTTTGGAAGCATTTTACTTTAGTTGCAATGTCATGTCCACATCTCACCTCCAACGGTGCTATCGACAATATTTCAAATTTCAAACATTTGATTAAAAAAATTTTAAATAAAAGAAAAAAAAGCAGAACTGAACGAAAATGGACCACCCTTTTTTCCCCCCTTAATAAAAAGGCCACTCAATTAATAATTTATTGGGGAGTTCTATAATCTATTTAAGGTACTGTAGTGTACCGATGAGATTAAATTAATCGTTAGATATAGAATAAGAGTTATCAACCGTCAAATTATTTTAAAAGTTTAAATTATTACTATTCCTAAATTATGTGACAAGATATAATAAATAGACTAAAAACATTAGGTATCGTACCCAAAAAGAATGCAGCATTTTCCTAGTCTATTACTTCCTTCGTTTTATTAAAAGTGTTCTACTTTTCATTTTGAAATGTCTCAAAATATTTGTCCTATCGCAAAAATCAAAACATTTTTTAGTCTTTTTTTTTTTCAAAATAGTCATTTCTTCTAATCATATACATACATGTTATCGTTCAAATTCAAAATTTGAATTTATAGGAATAAAATCAAAAAGAAAAAAAGTACAAATATCACAATCAAATAACTATTTTTAAAAAGTTTGATTCTCGAAACATGACCAAATAGCTTCAGGCGCACAGTAATATCCCATTTGGACATTTCTTCCCCGGGCCAGCAGTAACAAATTTATATTTCTTTTTTTTTTTGTTTAACTCTTAAATTAAAAATACTTGGAATTTCAATTCATATACTCCAGTAGCATATTTTGAAGTTTTAACCAGTCCAACTTCAAGTCTTTGTTTCAACTGGTACTACTACTGCTTCCTCAAACGTTGTTTCATTTCGCGTTCTTTTCAACGCGCCCCTCTTCTTTCGTTTCTCTTGCTCAAGCCCCCAACAATTCTTGATGCTGGTTGTTGCTTAATTATTAAGCTAGATTCTTAGAACAAATTCTTTGATTTAATTGATTATTTTTGAAGATCTGAGCTTTTGGATACTTTAGTTACTGCTCCGATCAATTGAAACAAAGAAGTGGGCTCGGAAGCTATGGCGACTATGGAGAGCTTGATTGGTTTGGTGAACAGGATTCAAAGGGCTTGTACTGCCCTTGGTGACTACGGAGGCGGCGATAATGCTTTCTCTTCTCTCTGGGACGCTCTTCCCTCTGTTGCCGTCGTCGGTGGCCAGGTCCTCTTTCCTCCCCGCTTTCATTTTGCCGCTATATTTAGCGCTCAATTTCGTTTCTTATGCAGTTCGAAGTGAAATGAAAAAAGAAGCACCAAGTCTTCGTGAAAATGGTGTATAATGCTTGAAAGCAATGAATGATTTTTCCGGAGAGAAAGTAGCAGATCTAGGAGATATGTTTGTGTAGACTGGACTTTTTTTTTGGAAATGGTTTTTGCTAGTTGGTTAGTTTGTTTAATTTGAGTTAAGATAGAAGATTATTTTTGATCGGATGTTATTTCAGTTTGCTGCTGGTAATATGTTATTGCTTATGATTTTGACATTGGCCTTCGGGGGAAATTGCAGAGTTCTGGAAAGTCATCTGTTTTGGAAAGTATTGTGGGCAGGGATTTTCTTCCTCGAGGATCTGGTAAATTCTGATATTTTCTTATTAGTTTTTTTGCGTGCGTGTATGTTTGTTAGTTATTCTTTGTCAAGTTGTTATTTTTGGAAGTAAGGGATGTTCTTGAGATATTTCTTTGACGGGGAAGGACGACTCGTTATGTTACAGGTATTGTTACAAGGCGACCTTTGGTTCTGCAACTACAGAAGACAGAGGATGGACAGCAGGAGTATGCTGAATTTGGGCATTTGCCACGCAGACGGTTTACTGATTTTTGTATGTTTATCATTCACTTGGGTGGTCTTTTCATTTATTATCCACTTGGGCTGTCTTCTCTCGAACAGTCCAGTGAAATGCCTTCTATACGTGTAAAGAGATGTTCATAATTATGTGAGATTCTGGTCTTGTTTAGCTCAAATAGTGGCAATAGCTTGCCAACTTGGTATTCATTCAACGTTTCCCGGTGTGTATATGTGACTTCTATTAGCATTTTTTCCCCAGCTGTGGTTCGCAAGGAAATTCAGGATGAAACTGATAGAATTACAGGGAAGACAAAGCAAATTTCTCCTGTTCCAATCCACCTAAGTATCTATTCCCCATATGGTATGTTTTATTATTGTTTTACTTGAGCAAATTTCTTTTATTTTTCACAAGATTGTGAAATTTTTGGACCAAATAATTTGTCAGGTTTCCAAATGCTTTTCATATTAGGTTTATATAGATATCATGATTTGGAATTTACATGTCTTTGTTGCTTCTTATCATTTTCTTCTAATTCTGAGGGACTTTGCAGGAGTAGTATTGGAAGTAGTGTAGCTAAATCTCCTTTTTTTATTTTAATTAGGAGTATTTGTTTCAGATGCTAGCATAAGAATCGCTATGCTTTTGTAACTTGTTAGAACTTCAAAAAATAAATTCTGAGGGAAAACTTAAAATTCTTGATGAGATTCAAGATTAATAATGTGAGTGCTCCTTGGATTGATCATAGTTCATAGTTCACAATTAGACCTGTGTTTTAATGTCAGTCTTCTTTGTCATATTAAATTAGTATTAGTTGTTGATTTCATGTTTTAATAATTGTTGCAACAAAGAACCATAAGAGTAACCTAATGTACATTTTTCTCTCTCTTGTTTTCTCCCTTTTAAGTTATTTGCTTTAATAAACCACTGCGTCTATCTTTTTCTTGATGGTATGGTGTGGTTCCTTTGTCTTGGCAGTTGTCAACCTTACTCTGATTGATCTACCCGGTTTGACGAAAGTTGCAATTGGTATGTTTAACGTATTGATTTGATTCTTATGATTTATTGGATCTTTTTGATGTCATTTTTATTTCTATACCAATCTTGGTTATTTTTTGCAGAGGGGCAACCTGAAAGTATAGTACAAGACATAGAGAACATGGTTCGAACATATGTTGAAAAGGTAATTAATCAATTTTCTTCCTTACAGTGTAAAATCTGAATAGGAAAAGTTGATTTTAGTGATTTTGCTTGCTGCAATAGAAATAGAATCTAGCCTTGACAACTTTTCTTCTTTAGCTTCGTCATGATTTGCTTGAACAGGAAGAGAGGTCATCGGTTGACGACGCAATCGAAGTCCAAATAGTGTTATGAATTCAATTCCTGAATTTTCACTTCCCTCAAACATTAGCTAAAGAATTACAAATGCTTCAGTAATACTGGTGGGATATTGTCTTTTGTGGCATGTAATGGGATTGTTTCAGGAAGTCAAAGGCTTGGTTGACATTTCATTTGAAACTCGGGGAATGTTGTTTTGTTTCAGTTTATAACTTAGTTTAAACACATGTACTTCCATTTGCTGTCCCTTTTTTTTACACAAACTTGTCGAAATTAAATTTTGTTTTACAACTCAGTTTGAACATTTGCATTCATCTGATTCATTTTACTTCTTAAAAGAATTTATGTGCTGCCACTGCTATGAGAATAACGTGTAGATGGTACTTGGTTTGAAGTTTTCCATGCACTTGACCTATTTCATCATAAAGTTTTGTTGATGTCATGTGCAGCCTAACTGCGTCATCCTGGCTATATCTCCTGCCAATCAAGATATAGCAACATCAGACGCTATAAAACTTGCAAGGGAGGTGGACCCGCAAGGTATTCTTATCATGGCAATTATGTTATACAGATTTTCAGTCTCTGGAGCTATTACATCAGATATCTGTATTTGTTCCTATATCTTATCCTGTACCTTTGGAAATGTGTACAGGTGAGCGGACATTTGGGGTGTTGACAAAGCTTGATTTGATGGATAAAGGAACCAATGCATTGGATGTTAGTACTCTCTCCTACTTAACACATGAATTATATCTCTTTCTTAACACATGAATAAGGTCTTGAAGACTTTGTAAAGTCTGAACTGATTTTCTTATGCTAATTCAAAATTTGAAGATTTTTTCACTATATGTTCGTCATTTTTGCCATTTTGACCATATAAAACTTAGAATTTGGTTATTAAAAGTCATCAGTGAGTTTGTCATAATATGAGTAATTGCAAGTTTAATGCACTTGTCCCCATTTATTAGTCTTTTAATTCAGCTAATTATTTTATGTTCAAAACATTTTTGAAGCACCTGGTTTCATGTCCTATAAACTGAATTGCTGTCCTTATCTTTCCAAAGGTTCAGCTAATTATTTTATGCTCAAAACATTTTTGAAGCACCTGATTTCATGTCCCATAAACTGAATTGCTGTTCTTATCTTTCCAAAGGTTCTTGAGGGAAGATCTTACCGCTTACAACAACCTTGGGTGGGTATTGTAAACCGATCACAAGCTGATATCAACAAAAATGTGGATATGATTGCAGCAAGAAGAAGGGAGCGTGAATATTTTGCTACAAGTCCTGATTATGGGCATCTGGCCAGTAAAATGGGTTCTGAATATCTTGCAAAACTTCTTTCAAGGGTATAGACTTTGAGTTATATTTGCATAGCAGTATGTCTTGTCATTTTCATGCTAAACGGAACCATATCAGTAAGTATTTCCATTTCAGCATCTGGAGTCTGTAATCAAGGCAAGAATACCAAGCATCACGTCATTGATTAATAAAAGCATTGAGGAACTTGAATCTGAGATGGACCACCTTGGCAGGCCCATAGCTGTTGATGCTGGGGTGAGATTCTTTCACCCATCTTTAGTTTTGAATAAAGGAACTACTGATCTTGTCCTGACTGCAACCTTGTGATTTCAGGCTCAGTTGTACACTATCTTGGAACTTTGCCGTGCTTTTGACAAGATATTTAAGGAGCATCTTGAGGGAGGGTATGGAATTTTTCTTTCTTTCATTTAATTTTGATTTCTGGTAGTATCAGATATGAGTTATCATCTTCTTTTCTATCTTGTTTTCATGTTATTCAGGTTCTGTTACTTGTTAACTAGCTTGTGAGAGATTTCATGTTCTTGCTTTTCCTATTTTGAAGTGACTGTTAGCTAACTTACACTGCATTAATGTAATTTGTCGGACTAACTGTGTGTTGTCAACACTCATAGCATGACGTTGTGGTAGGCACTTCATTACACTTTGAAAGCTTTCTATCATTGGAATGTGATTGGTAAATGTTTTGTGTTTGGAAGTGGCTAAGGACCTTCGAACAGTCATACTTGGATGGTGCAAATAATAATTGCTGGATATTGGCACCAAGCTAATTTTCTTCTTTGCAACTCATTGTTTTTTTGATGACAAGTTTGAGAGCTTTTCACTTGATATGGGTTAGTCTATTTGTTGTAGCAAACCCTACTACTAATTAAACAGCTCAAATGAGTGTCCCCAGACCCGTAAGGTCATAAAATTGGCTGGTTAGAGGTTGCTATCCGTGCATTAACTCTGTTTTATTTTTCTTTCTTTCTTGATTTCATGTTGATATTGCTCTATAATTTCTAACTTAGAGAAGAAATGTTTCGGGATTAACTCTGTTGTCCACTTTATGACTGCTATGGACTTCATTTTATCAGTCAGCTTGCTTCAATGATAAGTACGTTTAAGTGATTTTAGGCTGTAAGCATTAACACGGGATTTGTTTGTTTGGATTTTTTGTTTTTTGTGAATGTTAATATATAAGGCTAATTAATGATTATGTTTGTGTGGTATCAATGGTCTTCGGGAATTTTGATTTAATTCCTTATGGTAGAAAAGTTTTCACCGTCTACGTTTTTTTTTGTGTTTTTATAGTGTTTCTGTTCTTAATTTTTTTATTCACTTTTACAGCCGACCGGGAGGAGATCAGATTTACGGAGTTTTTGACAACAAGCTCCCTGCCGCATTGAAAAAGCTGCCTTTTGACCGACATCTATCGATACAAAATGTTAGGAAAGTTGTCTCAGAGGCTGATGGTTACCAACCACACTTGATTGCCCCTGAGCAAGGTTATCGACGGCTGATTGAGGGAGCTTTAAACTATTTCAGAGGCCCAGCTGAAGCTTCTGTGGATGCTGTAAGTTAATCTCTTGATGCTTGTAGACTTTTGCATCGTCTCTCTGAAATCTCTTCTAGCGTCCTAACTCTCCAAGAAAACATTTTCTAGGTTCACTTTGTCCTCAAGGAACTTGTGAGGAGGTCAGTTGGAGAATGCCAGGTTAGAACAATATACATTTCATTCCGAGTGCCCTTTTTCGTCTAGCTTACGTGGTTAATTTGGGTTGCCTTTGACCTTTGAATTATGGTGGGACAGGAGTTGAAACGATTTCCAAGTTTGCAATCCACAATAGCTGCAGCAGCCAATGAGGCGTTGGAGAGGTTCCGAGAGGAAAGCAAGAAGACTGTAGTCAGACTGGTGGACATGGAATCTTCGTACTTGACCGTGGATTTCTTCAGGAGACTTCCTCAGGAAGTGGAAAAGGCAGGTAATGTAGCTGGGGCTAATGCAGCTGCTGCCACAAATATCGATCGCTATGCGGAAGGTCATTTTAGGAGGATTGGATCAAATGTATCATCTTACATCAGTATGGTGTCCGAGACACTCAAGAATACTATTCCAAAGGCTGTGGTTTATTGTCAAGTTAAAGAGGCAAAGCAATGTTTGTTAAATCACTTCTACACACAAATTGGAAAGAGAGAGGTTTGTTGACTCATCCCTAGAGAATTTTTATGTGGAACCCATAGCTCAAAGTTTATTTAGGTGATTTGTGGCAGAGTGTAGCTTGATTACTTAACCAACAAGCTTTACAAATCTTGAGCTATTTTCGATATGGGTTATGGCACTTGACTCGGTTTGTGATATTGCAGGGTAAGCAGCTTGCGGATTTATTGGATGAAGATCCAGCATTGATGGAGAGGAGAGTGGAATGTGCAAAAAGGCTTGAATTGTACAAGAAAGCCAGGGATGAAATTGATTCTGTGGCATGGGCTAGATGATGACGAGAGCGATGATGCATGTTGGAGATGTTTTGTGATATAATACAACTGGATGCGCGGTTCAGACTACTGATTGTTGGGTCATTTGAGAGCTGATAATTCTTTTTGGTGGAACAATTTATTCCTAGACTATGGTTTGCTGGATTATTAGTAGGTTTTGTTTGTTTTACCATGTTACCTACATTAGTGTGAATACAAGCTGGTATTCCACATCTGCTTGTGGGATCTGTAGTCTTGCTTTCTTTGAACTACTTTCGGTATATATGTTATGGTTTGAATTACTCAAAAGAAAAGTATGAAAGAAATTGCTTGACATATCTATAATGATCGAAAACAACTTATAAAGTATGGATATGGAAATCATCAATTCCATGTAGCATTGATTTGTAACCTGTTAATATATTGTTGTGCTTTTTTATTTGAGTTTTGGCAAGACTGCAGAGAGTGACAGAGAAAAAGCACCAGCTGCTAAGACACATATCCTCAATGGTAGACTGAATTAATTGCTAATTCAACTCTTCCAGCTTTTGGGCTGGTGGTTAAGGGTTTGGTGGGGTGGGAGGCAAGGTTCAAACAAACATTGAAGCTTGCCTCCCACCGATTGTTATATTATGTGATTCTCTAAAAATTCAGACAGGTGTGTAATACATTCGTCTGATCTGATGATTGTACAGTTTTCGTCGGTTCTTTTATTAGTCCAGTTGTACTCCTCTTTAGAACAGATTAAAGTAGGAATAGATGTAAAATAAACTATTATCGACTGTCTGGAAAAAAAAAAATTCAACTCTTTGAGTGTTGTTACTGCCATATCAGGTGGAATTGATTAGCATGTGGTGTGCGGTAGGGCAGCGGGTACAATATTTTGATACGTAGACGTTAAAAACAAATTTTCCCATGAGAACAAGAGGGGAAGGGGAAGGGCTGGAGGGTTGGAGCCATCCTTCAAGAAAACCGCCATACGAAGTTATACTTTAAATCAGTCATAAAAATGACCCATCAGTGTATGGAAAGTTCTTGTGGGAAAGATTCAGAGAGATTCCCACAGAAAAGAATGGAAAAAGTAAGACAATTAAACCATGTGTGCTAGTATGAGATTCAGAAACATTCCCACAGAAAAGAATGGAAAAAAATTGGCCAGCAGATTTAGTGATCTTCACCCACTCTAATTCCTCTCTAGTCCTTCCAAGGCCCCCCACAACTTTGGATCCTGAAAATCGTTGATAACAAAAGTAGCCCCTGCCTCGATCAATAGCTTCCTTGGGTTTCTTGTGGCTACACCTACCACTGGCATCCCAGCTGAAACCCCAGCTCTTGTACCCGATACAGAATCCTTCAAGGAACAGGAAAAAATGTCAAGCTTCTGAACCATTATTACGAAAAATTGCTAAAGGAATGCCTAATTTTTTGAACATAATGGTTGGATGGAAGGTCCAAGCCTGACCTCAAAAGCAAATGCATGTTCAGGTGCAATTCTAAGTGCATCAAGAGCGTTCAGGTAGGGGTCAGGGAAAGGCTTTGCCCGTTCACATTCACTTCCAATAACTAGTAGTTCAAAGAAACTGGCAAGTCCCACCATAGAAATCATTAGCTCAGCATTTGGTCGTGGAGCATTAGTAACCGCAGCTCGCTTCAGACCACGATCCTCAATCCATTTGCACAACTTGTCAAGGCCATTAACAGGTTTTAGTTGTTCTGATGCCAATCTACATGTTACAAAAGAATCAAGGACATCATGCGTCAAAATTTTGTACCACACTTGGCTGTGCCATATATACTGGAATTTCAAAGTAAAGATTAATCCATATTTTTGGGTCCTAGGAACAGAAAGCAACCTTGATGATGGTTGTAAATATAGTTGGAAGGTCACATACACAGAATACGGATCATTGAAACAACTTAAATTCTTTCTTTATGTTACAAACTCCTGGAAGTTCCATTAGGACTTCGACATCAGTCTCAAATGGCTCAAATTTCTTGAAGGTCCAGAATATGGTGCTTCACCTACTAGTTTGTGCAAACGCTGTTTAAAGACATTTTTGGTGACATGCAGTGTCTCTTGTTATCTTAGTTGTAAGGATCTAACATAGCAATTCAGTCTAGTTATACCTGCGAAACATCTGCTCTTTATCCTCCATAAATTTCATGGCTCTATCAAAGTCCCAGTCTGGAAAGAGGACGTGACAGAGTTCATCATTATGCATGCCGCTAATATTTTTTATGAAAAAATCTTCCGTTAGTGGCTGTCCTCCATTGAAACCTACCTGTCATACATTGTTAAAAACTTTCTGAAGAACCTTTGGCAACATTTATTAACTTCCAACTGACAAAGCAAAACATGGAAAAATAAGATTTGTTAAGTTAAATAGAAAAAACAACCTCTTGAAGCATTTCTCTGAAGGCATAGTAGTGGATAGGATCTGAATCGCACAATGTACCATCAATGTCAAACAGCATCGCTTCCAAAGGAGCGACAACAGGGAGAGTACTCTTGCTTCACAAACATGGAAATTTTGTTAGTGCTGCTAAAAAAATTCATCTCAAGAATTATGAAACACCTAGATGTAGAACATAGCAAGCACGCTACTAGGAGGCATATATTTGTGGTGGAATACTGAGCAACAGGCTAATGCGAAACATGACCTTCTCTACAGAAATTTCTTATTAAGCTAAATGTGATCAAAATGCACATATGCAAGGCAGAAAGATGCATAAAAGGAAGGATCGGCTACTGATTCTCCATAAAGGATGTATGAAAGTCGTTTGCTCACCAAAATCTCCTGACAAGTTTTAGTGTTTGTCAAGGGATAAAACAATAGCTTCTGGATGATTTTGCAGCTTTCTGCAAACATTTTTACTTAGTTGATGAATGTTTACTAGCACAACCTTTCAAAGTTCTCTCCATATTATTTATCACATCCTGAAGTATAAGAAACTGTAAATGTCTCTAAGAATGAAACTGAAATGCGCCCTTAGCAATGTATATACATTCCAGAGTTTTCTCTAGGAAGATGAATGGTAATCTGTTATTGGTAGAGCATCATTTCAGCATTATTAACATTAAACTTCACAGTATTGGGCAAGTAGAATTCCAATGAAAATGGTAATTGTACTGCAAATGACAGGCGGCACTATGACAAAGGATCAATCTCTTTTGCCTTGCTTGACTATAGTGTACTTTGAATTGCAATCCAACTCTCCGTTTTCTTTTGTTTAGGAATTTTTTTCCCATACCATATTTGTTAATAACCTGATGCAGTTGATTCACATACTTTACCAAGGAGGTGATAGAACCTACGATTTTATGGAATAGAAAAAGATAACAGATGAAATATAGCGCCAGAAATGGGCCGCAAACAAAACAAGATTTCCTTTTCCTTCGACGAAATTTATCTCTGTATCCAAGTATATCGTATAGATATCTTGGAGGCTCCTATTTGAGACCGCATTCAAATAAAAAAAAAAAATCATAAACACTAGTCCAACCATTAATAGCCAATTGCGTTCCTCAAGGACAGAAGAATAGATTAGCAGAAGCGGGGGAAAAAAAAAGAAAAGAAAAGAAAGAAAGAAAGAGCATCATCATAATATGCAGTGAATTACCTTTGCACTGGGAATTGGGAAAGCGATTCACTGGGCATCCGAGCCCGCGGAGCAATACTTGTAGTGGGACTCCTGGAAAACCTTTTAGTACTAATGATTCTGCAAAACGGTCTAGCGCATGGGTGGTTGTTGGATGTAGCAGGGGCTGATGAGAAAATACGATTGCCAATCAGACTTGGCATACTCCCAACTGATGAAATGTCCGAAACTCACCCTTCCTTCCTTCCTCTTCTTCTGACAGTTTATCTGGGGTTGTGTGTGCTAGACGGTCAGACAGATCCAAGAATTCTGTTAAAGCTAGCTCACACCAGAAATGATTCTAGTGGTTCTTGTAAACGCTATGGTATAATCCACGGCATACTGTTTAAAGAATAGTCCTAACCATATTAGGGAAGGGCTTTGGAGGAGAACCAGGGGCTCACGATTACATGCTTGATATCCCTACTAACTAAAATGGATATTGAGGATAGCATCTTGCATATGGCTGGCTGGGGAGAGTTAGAACAGTAGACAACAGAGCCCGTTACGAATTGAAAAATATTCTATGTTGAATAATGAAATGTTAGTCTAGAGACAGTAACAAGTCGAGTTGAATTCGAGTTTGAACATATTTGATCTAGTACGAGTTTGACGAGTAATACATTTTGTATGTATGAGCTCTATTTGTATAATATTTTTTGGAGGTCGAACTTACAAAATGCTCAAAAAGTTTATCAAAAATGGACTGGATTTATCAAAAAGAGTGGAATTTATGGATAGGGACTGGTTTGATTAGAGAAGCTGAATGAGAATAAAGTCCTGCAACTGATAGCAGTGTCTTGGCAATCATTGGCCCTCCCAAGTGACCGAAAAGTCTTGCGGCTGTGTGATGTTATGAAACCTTTACTGGAAGACCATCCCAGGTATGGCCTGTAATTGCCTTCGACCTCTTAACAGATTGTTAAAATTCCAAAATGAGAAAAATTACAAGCGCAACTGCTCGTAACATTTTCACATGAGCTTGAGTTTTATCCAGAAAGCCACATGATGAAAAAGCTTAAATTTGGACCGAGTACAACAATTGTGTACAGTCACCACATACATTGAAAAAGTACTTGGGGAACACTTCCTTGCTCAAAACCAGCTCAGGAGAGAAAAAAATTCACGAAAATATAGCCAAGTAACTGGCAGTCAAGTTCAACATGTTTATTCGAGTGTGCAACCTTTTAGCAGCCCAGATTCCTGTCAAGCTCTTTCAGAGCCCCCCACAAGTTCGCGTCTTCAAAATCTGTGACAACCAAAGTAGCTCCTGCCGCTTTCAATAGTTTTTCTGGGTTTCTTGAAGCTATAGCTACCACTGGCATCCCTGCTGCAACCCCCGCTTTCACTCCAGATGCAGAATCCTGCGAAGGAACACAGAAAAAATATCAGACTTGTTCAAGATTGCCGTTCAAAAGTATCCGAGGAGAACATAATTGATCTTATGAACCAAGTGGGGTTGAGAGCAATCCTAAGCCTAACCTCAACCACAAAAGCATGTTCTCGGGCAACTTTAAGATGTTCAACGGCCTTCAAGTAGGGGTCAGGAAAAGGTTTTGCTCGCTCACATTCACTTCCAAGGACTATGAGTTCGAAGAAATCATCAAGGCCTAACATTGATATTATCAGCTCAGCAGATTCTTTTGGAGCATTAGTGACTGCAGCTCGCTTCAGACCACGTTCTCCAATCCATTTGCATAACTTGTCAAGACCATTAACTGGTTTCAATTGTTCTGGTGCCAACCTGTATGTTACCAGCAAATTATGCTTATCATGGATTCTCTCGTATATTGTACTTTCTCTTGCCAAAATATGTTCAAAAAAGTAACTTCCTGTCACTCATCATTGGCACCTAATGAAATTAACAAGTTCCATATAATGATAAAGAAATCAGCTGGCATTCCTAACCTGATAAAACCACTGAGCATCTCACACTAATTGGGCCGATACTTTTTGTTCAGACCATCTTATGAGTTACTAGCATTTTAGAAGCAGTTAAGCCAAATGGTACCTTCGAAACATAGCCTCCTTGTCGTCCATGAATTTCATGGCTCTATCAAAATCCCAATCTGGAAAGAGAAGATGACAGAGTTCATCATTATGCAAGCCATTCATTCTTTTAATGAAAAATTCCTCAGTTATCGGCTGCCCTCCGTTGTAACCTACCTGCAATAGATTTATCTTTACGTAAGTTGGACTTTAGGTAGCAATTTAAGATTCCCAGTTGACAAAGAGAAATGTACAAAAGAAACTTCAGGGAGTAAAAAGAAGAATATTCAACCTCTTGAAGCATTTCTCTGAAGGCATAATAGTGGATGGGGACTGAATCACATAGGGTGCCATCGATGTCAAACAGTATTGCTTCCAGGGGATCACGTACAGATAGAGCATTCTTGCTTCAAAAACATTCAACTCTTGTTAATTAAAAGCTTAATTCATTGAATACGAAACACCTAAGATGCACGACATGAAAAGCACAGCTCAAGAATCAAGAACAGACAAGAAAAAGGAAAAAGCACTACACGTTATAGAGAATCAAACCCCCACCCCCCGGCCCCTCCCCGCTTCTCAAGTTCCACCCCCCCTCCTCTGACCCGCAAAAGAAAAAGAAAAGAAAAGAATCAATCACCAATCACCATTGCAGTGTTTGAGAAGTTAATTCACTGGAAATCCGGGCCCGAGCAGCAACACTTGTAAGACGGATACAGGAACCAGAAAAATTTTTGCAAAATGGCCTCGAATGCGAAAGGATCTTGGATACATCAGTAGAGATTGATGAGAAAACTTGATTACCAGCCAGAGTTGGCATTCTCTGAAGTCCAGGTGATGAAAAATACTCGATTCTTTAGCAGGTAGGGAGGGGGAATTAGTTGAAACTTGAAACTAAACTCTCTTCCCTGTCTGTGTCTTTGCTACTCTACTGTTTTGACTCTCCTTGTGGTTGATTTGTTTGTCGTCCGAGACACTCGGGACCCAAGACTTTGGGCAAATGACTCCTGATTCAAGAAATTGTTCTCGTTTTTCACCCGGGGGGGGGGGGTGTTTTTCTTCTTTATAGCAATATTCAGTTGTATAATTCAAAAGGTGGGATTAAATAATGAGCTTGGATAACAAATTTTTTAGCATGGCAAACAGGATAGGTCCAAGGTCCAGTCACCATTAATGATTCATCCATCCAATGTTCCTAAAGATGTGTAGAATGTTACTAACACAAATAAATCATGACAAACAACTTATGAATCTCTTAGATAGGAGTGTAAGAAGTAGGTATCATTCAAGACAAATGGTACCTGGATTTGATTTATGCCACAAAAAATTGTACTGCACCTTCTCCACACCAAATAAATCACTGAGTTTTAGCTAAGTGATCACCAAAAAAAGACTAAATCCTTCTTTAGAAACTCAATGGAAAAAATTCAAATGAGATGTCCCTCTAGTCTAATCAAATTTATATACTTGCTAGCCCCTTACATAATTTCTTTAAACTCCCTCTCCCATAGAACGCGCTAAATGATCATACGTTTTTCAACTTTTCCTGATAGGTCACCCCGTCGATCTTGCCAAATCTGTGAATTTTCTTTTCACTAGCATACAGGAATAATTCGCGAATCAGTCAAATTTTTGCAGCTATCCTTTCTTTTTCTTTTTCTTTTTTTAAGATAAAAGCATGACTATAACAAGTTGTGTTGTGTGCTGATTCCCCTTCCGTGTGAAAAAGAATCTTTAACAAGAATGTCTTCACCTTGGACTTGTCTTGCTCCTGTTCGTCCGTCACCTGCCAGGTCCTACCTAAGGCACTAGATGATTGATTCATGATACCCTGCGTGTGTAGAGCTTCTTTTTTTTGGGTAGGAATGGGAGAAAGTGATGGTATAATAATTTGTTGGCCGGGTCTATCTTAGTTAACTACTAACAAATATGTCAAAACAAATGCTGCATACTCAAATTAGGGGTGCCAATCGGCCCTGGTAAGTTGGGTTTTGAAATGTCCAAACTCAGCTTACAACATCAAAATGGCCTTTCGGACTTTTAGGCTTTAGGTTTTACAAAGTTCATGCTCAACTCATAAAAAAATTAGAACTTTGGACCTAATTTGGGCGTGGTTCAAGCTTACAATTAATCCATAATTATATTTTTCTTTCATATAACTAATCCATAATTATATATTATATGTATGTATATAATATTTATCTTGTTTTACCATTATATGCAAATTACAAATTTTGTATGCAATAATAAATATTATTATTAATCAATATACATCATTACAAATTAAAAAAAAATACACTTATATGCTTAATTATTTGGGCAGTGCTTTATTCGAGTTGAGCCTTATTAAATTCAAACTCGGCTCACAATTCAATTGGATCTTATTTTGAGACCCAAGCTTAACCCATTCCAATCACATGTAAGGTTCAATCCTAACTTTTTTTTATTGGGACCGATTGGATTGGCTCGATCCCATTGACAATCCTAACTATACTGGTGGTTAATTATTAATTATAGAGACTTAAAGATGAATTAGAATGAGTATCAAAATTAAGAAAAACTCTACACACATGTTTCCCTCTGTTCATGAACGCTAGTAGGATCTCGATCTCTTAGAGTGATGGTTTTACAATTTGTAATTAGTGCTCTGGCTATGGAGGTACTTCACATATATTAACAACTAGAGCTTTTAACCAACTGAGTTGTTTGTGAATGTGTTCGTGTTTGGTTTGTCAGAATTTGAAAAAAAAAACTCAATAATTTAATAAATGAATCGAGTTTGAACACAATATTAGGCTCATTTCATAATCAAACCGAACACGAACCTGTTCATGAACACATATATAATTATAAATATAAATAAATTTAATATTATTAAATATATGTTATATTTTAATGAAAAGTAATTATGAATAAATTAGCATAATTTATTTTTTAAAAATCAATAAATACAATTAAATTATTTAAAATAATGTATTATTTATTAAAAATATAATTAAAATCATTTTCAAAATCAAATTCGAGTTCAAGGCTCGAGTTCGAATTCGACTCGCATAGTTTAACGAGCCAGACTTGAGTTTGAATTCAAATATTTATATAAATAAACGAATCGAATTCAAATAGTATTTATAATTCGTTAATATTCGAGTCGAACTCCAACCATGTTCGTATAATATACAAACAGAACCTGAACACCAAGCTGTGGACTTGATTTGGCTTGTTAAAAGCTCTATTAACAACTAATATGAATCTATCAATCGTGCATGTACTAGATTCACGGTTAATCATATACACGTGTAATCACAATCTACCATCCCCAATTTTGGAGACATGCATATTGCTCCCATGCTTGACTATCTTGACATTAAAAATCCTTAGCCCACCCACGTTTTGTAATTGAGCAGAGGATGTCCCTCTTCCCTTTGTACCAAAAAAAAAAAACCTAAGCCCATAAGTAATGTGATGGAAATGACTTCAAAGTCTTCAATACGGCTTGAAGCACAAGAACTTTCATGGTGCGTAGGCGTTTCAGCGGACTAAATACAAAAACAAACTAGCCCTAGTAGCGAGCTTGGCTGGTAACCATATGTGGTGGTATCCAAAAGCTCATTAGTTCGAATCCCGCTATGGTATGACGCTTGCATCCTTGGGCAGGATTCTGCAAGTCAGAAGTCAGGAGGTGGATTAGTCTGGCTAAATTGGGGGTGTTATTGAGTCAAGTCGAATTTTGCTAAATGCATCCTTGAACTTAATGAATCAAGTCGAATTTGCTATATGCATCCTTGGGCAGGACTCTGCAAGTCAGAAGATGGATTAGTCTAGCTAAACTAGGGGTGTTAATGAGTCAAGTCGAACTTCAGTAGTGCCATACTCAAACTTGAATTTGATGCTACACAAACCTGCTCAAGCTCGAGCTCGACTTCAGCGAGTAAAAAATTATGTCAATCTCGAGCTCGACTCATTAAGGTTAAGGTAGACTCAAGCTCAAATTCAATGCTACACAAGCCTGCTCAAACTCGAGCTCAACTTGAGCGAGTAGAAAATTATGTTAATCTGGAGCTCAACTCATTAAGGCTAAGATTGCTTGAGCTCGAGCTCAACTTGAGCGAGCAGAAAATTATGTCAACCTCAAGGTCAACTCATTAAAGCTCGAGACTAGTCTCGAGGCTTAACAGACTCCAAGGCTCGAAATAAAATTCAAAAAATTTGAAAAAAGGCTCAAAAATTTATGGTAAATTATCTAAAATCCTCATTTTTTTAGTTTTTACAATATTACATTTTGTCATTTATGAGTTTTATTGAGTAGACAACACTTATGGTAAATTACCTAAAACATAAACCCTTATTAGTCATTTTACAATTAAAATAAAAATATAATATAAATAACATACCAATAATCAAGCTACTTAACGAGCATTTGAGTAGCAAAAATGGAGGCTTGAATTCAACTTAGTAATTAGTATATGCATTTAGTTACTTAAACTTGAGCTCGAACTCATTTGAGCATTTGACCGAATTGCTTGCGAGCTACTTGGAGAGGCTTGACACGCTAGCAGCCCAGCAGCCCGCTAGCTTGGCATACCACCTTCTGTGGAAAAAATATTACAAAAACATATTGAGTCCAAAAGAAATAAGCTCGATAACGGATGCATAGCTATAGGCCAGGCCTGTTGAGAAACAGAAGCAGCCAAACTGGCCCTGTCCATAAAGAGCTTCTCTTAGGAAAAGCAAAGGAGCTGTTGAGAATTTGAGAGTGAAGGAGAAAAGTAGCAGACGATACAGAGAGAGAGAGAGATAGAGAATGAGCGCGACCGCAAATTTGTTGCAGCAGCTCTGCCAATATCCTTCAACCTCTCTTCTCTTCCGCCACTCCAAACTTTCTAAAAAAGGTATTCCATTAACCTATTTCCTCCCTTTAATTGTTCTATTACTATTACTAAATTCGTTTACCCAACTGGTTTTCAGTTGTTTTCAGTTCGTAGTTTCTAATTTACTTCTCTTTTTTTTGCGTGCTGAATGAAAAATATTTTACTTCCGCGTTTGCCGTTATTGTGTATAATGTGCTTTAAAATGTAGTTATATTGAACTTTTTTATTTGGTCAAGGAAAATGATACTTTTTCTTTCTTATATGGGAATTGTCATTATTTGAATTGTTAATTTCAATCAATGATCATTCAATCAATGATCAAGTAGAGGTGAGGAGATAAAAAAGAAAAAAAAAACAGATGCTTTACTTGTCTTTCTTTGATATGTGATATACCTCTTTCTTGGCCCTCCTTTGTTTTTGATGTCTTATCAAGGTAGAGCTGTAATGGCAGGTTCATACTTGGTGCCTAAAATGGTTATGTATCCAATTCCATGCTTTTACAAGTGTATGCAGTCCACTTCTTATGAAGCCGTTGTGCAAGGAAGCTATGTACCATCTGCAGACGCAAGCCAGAAAACTGAAGCAAAGGTACTTGCTTTGTGAAAGATTATAGATTATCTTCTAGAAAGAAACAATGAACTTCAATCAAGTTTTTGCTTTAGTTTTGACTTTAGTCGTATTCATCATATTTGTTTGGTTTAATTTGTTACGGATAGGTGGGATGTTGTAGAAGGCCAATGAAACTCTAGCAAGTCATATAGGCTTCATGGGGTGGATTTAATTGTACAGGAAAATTAATCACGTGCCAGATAGCGAGCTTTTCTGCATATCTGGCGCTAATAGAGATTAAGGTTTTGATATTCCTCAATGGGGTTTCAGGAGGTCTCTTGTTGTTCTTCTAATGTTTATCTTTTTTAAACATTGGAATTGGAGCTTGTTGGTCCTCTTCTTTTCACTTTCTGGCAACTCTCAATTAATAGCTTTTGATATTTGGATCCATCCATGTGTTAATTGTGTATTTTCGCTTTCCCTTGTTAGGAAAAAGCATCAACTACAGCCGAAACAGTTGGTGCATTCCAAAAGCTTCCGATGGTGATGCCATCAGTTGATATACTATATTCTGCACTGCGGAAGGCAAAGAGGGTTTCACCTACAAAGGGTAATGAATTGTTTTTTCATTATTCAATGCTGAACTGCTAG